CTCAGCATTTCAGCAGATTCTAAGAGATGGTATCTGCTTATGCAGTGGACTGCACTTTAACTACAAAAAGATGGCAAGAAGCATGGACAGACAGACAGACAGACAAGACAGGTCAACTTGACTGAAGTCCCTCCTTTTTCAGCCCTGGCGTGGTTTCTTTTGCTGTGGTGAACACCACCACCAAAGAGAACTTGGAGAGGTCAGGGACTTGCGCGTTATAGTGATGATGGAGGGAAGCCAAGGCAGAACTCAAAACAGAGGTTTAAACAGGAACTACAGAGAAATGTTGCTTGCTGGCTTACTCCCCCACCCTGTTCGGCTAACTTTCCTAGACAGCCACTGCAGACAGTGAGCCAGGCTCTCCCGCATCGGTTGACAAGTAAGACATTGCCTCACAAACGCGCCCAAAGTCCAGCTGAGATTCCTTCTGATAACTCTGGGCTGTGGTAAGTTGACCGTTGAAACTGACTGGGAGATGCTCCTTCCTCTCCAATGTTTACCCCATGTGCATTCCACGTTTCATTCCCTCCCAGCACTGCCTCTACTCAGAAAGAGCATGCATGCATGTTTTCATGATGAAACTTGGATGAACATAACTTGTGCACAAAACTCTCATCTGTGAATCAGGAAAAAATTCAGCATTTGTTATTTAGAGTAATGATTTAAAGAAGTGATCAGAGTCAGCTAATGCTAATGGAAGTGGGGAGATCTAGGCAGAGGGATATGAGATCTACAGAAACAGCTGAATACGGCGAGTAGGAGACAGCATCTTGGATATATAACAGGAGTCTTTGCACACACCGCACAGGAGTCAGGGCTGAGGACAAGGACTCCCCTGCCAGAATGCCTGGGTTCACACTGAGTGTGGACTGCCTCTGCTTCTTCCAGGAGTGCTCCACGCAATGCCCACCTTAAATGGTTGTGGTGTCGACTAAATCTGATAGGTACAGGGGGATATAAGAGCTCAACAGATTTAAGGAGCTTGCAACTACACTCCATGCATTTTTGGTTTCCTATCCTTAAAAGTAAAATCCATCTCATAAGATAGATACAAAAAGATTTCCTTGTCTAAACAGTCGCTAAGACTAAAGGAAGTTATTATGCTAGGAAACAACTATATGAATAGAATCATGTTAAAATTTAAACACAGCGTTAGCTTGATTCAAAAGGCACATTCTCGGTTTCCCTAACATTTGTCTCCTTTCTGTGATTCACCCCACCTGTGCTCTCCTTTTAAAAGTGGGTGTGGAAAAGTTAATAACAAAGGGAACAATAATCCCCAAGTCCTCTTGTTCCTCTGAGCTCTCACTGGAATGGTTACAATTACAGACTTGAATCATGTGTTCATTTAGTACTTAGTTGTATACCTCTTCTCATCCATACACAATTATTTAAAACTACATGCTCTGATTATTGAAAAAAGACACAAAATTTAAAAGTCACTATGCTATTAATATCTAAATGGATCAGGTACTAGATTTAAAAATATGTTGTGCTTGAATTCCCTTCTAACACTTTTCGGGCAACACAAGTATGATGAATATAAGCGTTTTTAAAGATAACTGCTTTGCTTTCCATGACAAGTAGAAATCCTCTTCAGCCACACCCTTACCAATGCTAGCAGAATAACTCATGTAGTAATGCCGCAGTAATGTCCTCACTTACAGAAACATTAACTTGCATGATAGTATTAGAGACTAAATGAACCAAATACCATTAAAAGATCACTTTTAACATTTTAAATTAAACCCACACTTGTGTATTCTTAAGTTCTGACAGGAAGTTCTGCTGGCAACAGACCTGAAGAGGAATGGGGTGGACACTCATGAACTGACTCATGTCACCACTCACTAAACCTTAGCTCACGTGGAAGCTGTCTTTATCTGCCTTGCTACTCTTCACCTGTTACAGTAACTGCCAGCACACATGGGGAACTTATTTCATTTCTCTTTTCTCTTTTATTCACTGTCACTTCTGTCTGTGCCTCAGAATCCCTTTGTAACAGACATGATTATTAAGATACTTGCAAAAAGATTCATTTTAATGTTTATTATTGAGAACTTGTTATAGTCAAGGGAGGACGTCTAGGTCATTTTTTAAATTTTTAATTACATTTATTTGAGTGTGTGTGTGTGTGCGTGCATGTTTGGGTGAGCATGTGCCACAGCCAATGTGTAGTCAGAGGACAGTCTGAGGGAGTTAGTTCACTCCTTCCACCACGTGGGAAATGGGAATCAAATTCATGCTGTTAGGCTTGGTGTCAGATTCCTGTAGCCAATGCTGAGTTCTTGACTTCCCATGTTAAAGTTTTAAAATAATTTTTAAGTTGAATAGCATTAGGGACTATTTATAGTTTTTATATTTAGAGGATGACATTTTAATTTAAATACCAAAGAGGATAACACATCCTTTAAAAAAGGCCACAGTAGAAAATGGAGCATGCAACCAATTTTACATTTGTCTGCTAGCTGATAGTGGCTGATATAAATAGTTCAATATTGTTATTGTTTTATTTATTTTAAATGGTATTAAAATCAGCTGTTCAAAATATCTTCTTTTGTTTCAACAAAAAAATGGAATTAATTTTTGTATATGCGATCTAATGTACAGGTTTCAAATTCGATTAAATAGATCAACTTTACACAAAGCCAAATGTATGAAAAGGGATCTTTTAAAAAAAACTTTATTTGAGAAAGGAAGAGACTTATAACAGAAGGCAAGAAGGGAAACATACAAACAATATATTTACAACACAAAACAAGTTTTCACCTCCAAGGGTGTAACTCATAATAAATACAGTAGATCTTAGAAGAGACATTTATCAGTTAATTCTAAAGTTAGTGATGTCCAGCTTTTCATTTTACTGGTTCCAGGTAGTTTCTTTACTAAATTCAAAGACTATCAAATTCAAACAATTATGTCCACCAAATGTACTGATGAAGTTCTCTCAAATAACATTATAAAAAATAGGGTTTTTTTTGTTTGTGATCACATATCTTTGAAGTAATATTATACAAAAGTCTGCTCAGCCACGTGTTCCTCCCCAAATAAAATGTGTTTTAAAAGATGCACTATCCCTTTTTTTATGAGATTGAAAAAGGAATTTGAAGAAAATGAATATTTATGAGATGGAAAAATATACAATTTTATCTTAGGCATGCCATATTTTTAATGCAAAACAACTGACAAAAGTCATTTTAATATGAAGGAATATATTAATATGAAGGAATATATTAACCCAGACATATTGGTGATAGGGAGAGTTACTTATTAGAACTAGTTGTCAAATTATCAGAAGGACTTTCATTATGTGGAAAAACTTTTAACTTTCTAACTCTAGTTATGTTAATTTAATTCAAATGGAGACTTTTTTTTAAAAAGGATAATGTATCTTTTAGCAGGAACATTTTAAAAGAAATGGTTTTAAATGTCACAGCAAAATGTAAACAACACATGCTAATAACATACAGTTGAACAATGTCTATATTTGGCAAAAGTGATATGTGTCCTTGAAACAGGATACTACACCTTCAAATACCATGGATCAAGAAATATAAATATTTTAATAGAAAAAAAGCCTCATGAAGATTCTAGGTCAATTTGGATTATCCATATTAAAGGGGTCTTAAAACAGCATACTTGTTACTAGCTTAACAAAAGTAAACACGTAGAAGAAGGCAAACAAATCAAAGGGGGAATATAAAGGAATGTTATGGCCAATAACTTCCGTAGGGTTTCCCTACTCTTGGTGTCATTTTTCTAGACAATAAATCAATTCATAGAACACCCTTTCCAAACAGAAGAGTAGAACACTACCCTAGGGTTCTTGTCCCTACATTCCCCAGTACGCGAGTCACTTGGACTTCCTGTTTCCACTTTACATTCCAGTCCCTTCACAGAACTGCTTCTCTGTAGAACTGAAGGAACCTGACAAAGAACTGACTTAAATAAATATTATCTATGTTGCCTTCAAAGCTGTTTGTATTTTTATAGTATCAAAGGACAGACTCCTTCTGAAGGTGCATTACACACAGCAGATTCCTCTGTTAAACCCAACATTCATATTTTTTTAGTTGACAACATGATGTGGTTTCTATCATGAACTATATGCAAGAGATTCTCACGATAGCAGGTATAAACGTGAGTCGCCTCTGGTAAACAGGCTTTAATTTGATACCACGTGGTAATCACACTGCATTTTCTGCAGCTGTGCATACACGGCAGCATCTGCTTGGACCACAGTGTCACCAACATTTGCATCAGGTCCTTTTGATCTTTTTCACTACACAGTATCAGCAAATTATCCAAGGTTTAAGAAATGTGCAATGCTGCGTCAGACATAAAGTAATGCTCAGAACAGAGCTTCAGATTGCATCGCTACTTAAAATCACCCAATTGCTAAGATTTTCAGTTGTAATCTACACAATAACCTAGAGCTACTGGCTTGGCAACAGCATTTTTACTTAACAAAACAAGAGAGGAGGAAAAGGGGGCAGGGCAGACTACCTTCAACAGTGTTCAAGACTGTGGTATGGTACAGTATGTACAGTGGTATGAAAAATGAATTCTCTATGTTAAAAACATTTCTAATAGAATGCTTCATTGATCAGGCTGGAGACTATGTTCTGTCCTCACAGACCTCAGCAGATAAAACAACAATGAGTTTATTGTCTTAAGAAGTAACCACTGTATCAGGCTTTTAGAAGAATTTAAAGCCTATTAATTACCTGGATATTATATAGCATAATTTTATGTAACAGGCATTTTCTTACCAATGAAGGTTGAATGAAACCTTGACATAACCATACCCATTCAGAGATCAGTATAGCGTGATCTTTATATAGAAAAAAATTCATTTTACCTGCTTTAGAATTCTTAAATACTAAAATCAGAGATATATGCTGATAGGAAATGATGACCATTTACCAAAATCTGCAATACATTTATGTTCAAATAATGACTTTAATTACAAATCCTGGAGCTAAATCTTTGCCTATTACCTGTTGCATAAAAGCAGCCTGCTCCCCACACTCCATTTCCTGTATGTGAGCGTCTTCGTCACTGTCCACTGGTTCCTCCTTGATCTTCACAGCCCCAACTTGTCCCAATGTGTCATCCACACCAGCACTGCTGTTGCTCCCAGAGCTGTTGTCGCTAGCGGTTGCTCTGTCTTCCATGGCCTGGTCCCCTTGAAGTTCCTCCTCTGCTTCCTCAAGGTGGCTGCCTGGTTGCTTCAGTTGTTCAATAGATTTCGAAAGCAGCTAGAAGAGAGTGTTCAGGATTCAAAAGTCAATAGTTCTTGATGTAATAGATTCAAGTTATAGTCTCAGTTTTAATAATTCAACTTGAGCTAGAAAACACTGGAAATGTTAGGGGGAAAAGGTAAATAAACCATGTCCATGAAAGCTATGACACTTTCACTAGGACATAGTTCACAAGTCTACTTACTATAAATGAACTTGAGAATAATACCTTTCTCAAGAAAGGATGAAGTTAGTGTAGAAACTCTTCAAATTCATGCTTCTGCAAATACTAACTACTATATAATCTCCAACATACATGGTAGTAGGGCTTATAACTAATCTTCTAGTACCCACATCATCAAATTATGACAGTACTTCAGAAATAGAATGGTAAAACACAGAAATATTTATTGTAGAATTCTGAAGTTTAAAAGAGTCAATGATATTTACCATTTTGGAAGAACATAATTTATGAATGAACCTAAATGGAATTAAACAAAAAGTAAACAAGGAATTGGAGTTCAAATAAAGAATTATTTAAGTATCTTAGTTATTTGGGTAAGTCGATAAATGTATAACCAGTTTGGCAATCATCCTAGCTAGCAGCATACAAATAATGTGATCACAGAAACCAAAACTATATGTTTTTCTGTAGAAAATTTTAGTTTAACTCATATTCACACATAACCAGGTTTAAAACTCTAAACATGTTTTAATGTTTAAATAAAAAATGACTCAAACTTCAAAGGGCAAACAAGTCCTTTACACATGGGCCATCCATCTCAAGCGCCTCAAACATGCTGATACTGCCCTTAAATTTAACTGGAAGGAGTATGATGGGAACTTTCATTTTTTTTCAACAATTATTTATTTAGTGCCAATTATGTTCAAGCGACTGTTGATGATTGGGAAAATGGGCATACCTTCCTTCCTACAAGCTCAGGCTGTAGTATATTATAAACGAGTAAGACGGTTAAAGTTTTGACCTCATTTTTATGTGTCAAATATTTTTTATACATAGCAAGAACTTTGGAGAATAAACTCTGTGTGTTTTTATAGCACCCTGCATATACATGTGGGTACCAGAGAAGTGAAGTGAGATGGTTTGAAGACATTGCTGGGAAAGTGTTTCTCTTTTGGATGAAGACTGAAAATAAGGCACACACACTGGGAAGATTTTGTAAAAAGTGTCACAGCTCATACTATATTTTGGTGCAGGATAAGCACACACAGCTATGAGCCATAATAGAATAAGACCCAAATATCTCTAAGCCTGCCCAGAGGGGACAATCAAGCAAGGAAAACACACACCGATTAAAATCCATATCAAAATGAAGAAAGAAAATTTCAGTATTCATTTCCTTTGTGCTAACAATTTAATTTCTATTATTATTGGGTAGTCAGCATGAGGATAAAATTCCTCCCATCCTTCTTAAAACATCTTTTAGTGCATTTTAGAAAACTATTTTCTGTACAATTGTCCTAGTTCTGAGCACTAATCAGCAGTTCCTGTCTTAAATACATAATTGTTTGCACACTGCAGAGAGTTTGCAGAATAGACACTACAATCATTCCGAATTCTGGCTATGTAACTGTAGGAACATGTGTCCTGCACTGTTAGGAGAAAGACCATGCAGGACCACAGAAAGTGAGGGGAGAACAGTAACTGAAAAGCCTTATTTTTCCGTGGAAACAGCATGACACAGGGCAGGTCTGTTGTGATGTCCTCCATCCCTCACTGCAGACCCGACAGCCAGAGTACACCAGAGGAGTTTTGTAAGGAGCCAGGACTGGTGAGAGAAGAGGAGAGGAAAGCTTGAGGGCCCTCAAAGGGAACATTTACAAGACGACGACTGACATTTTTTTTTCTGAGCAGAAGCTCAATGAACCATGGAACATCTCTTGATCCCAGAGTTTCCCTGGATGAGTGAATGGGAGATGCTGGCCTGTCAGAAAAGGCTGACGAGGGGAGCCAAAGACACTGGCCAGGCAGAAGCTTGTACAGGTGTTCAGATAATGTCACCAGTGATAGCGTCACGAGGAGAGCAGATGAAAACAACACATATGGGGTGAGTGGTCAAGCGAATTGACAACCACTTGGAAGAGACTGGATGGACAGTCCACAGCACAGGAGACGCCATGGAAAAGGTCCCTGTTCAGTGGAGGGCAATTCTGAGGAGCTTTCTGGACCGGCTGAACTAACTCCCTTCTCGTGGGTCATTCTCAGCTAGTTCTGAGGGAAGCCACGCGGCCTCTGAGGCTCATTCCCACTGACATCACTCAGTTGCTTGCTCCCTACCTTGCAGGCCCAAGTTCAGCTTGCACTGCCCTCGTCTCCCAAGCTCTCTCTCTTCAGCACATGTCGTAATGTACATGTGCTTGATGGAGCGTGGCTGTTTCTTCTGCACCCCATTGCATTCCTGTCTCCCCAGCTAATTCACTCCAGCATTGTCACTGACTTGCCAGGCTGCTTCTCTTCTCAAACCTTTCTCTTCTCTTCCTGTTGGTGCTTTTGCTTGTTATTTTACTCAAAAAAAAATACAAGCACCCAAAGAACATCTCCAGATGCTTTATAGGCTGGGACAGCAGTGTCCTTGCTGTTAAAATTAATAGGATATTTGTGCCCATCTCAGTCAGGCTTGTGTTCTGGATCCTAATATCTCCTGCTGTCTCCCATCTTATCATTATGAATTTCCCCTCTTTTCTGGGGAATTCTCACTGATATGTTTTCAGTAGCAATCTATCTGAAAGAAAAACCCTGCCTTTCACCTCTGTACATCTCGCTTCACAACAGAACTTGAACTTCCTCTCTTTGTCATCACTTTTTATTTCTTCATTCACTTTAAAATCATGCCAATTAGGTTTTCATTCACTCCATTTGACTCTCATCTTCCTTGTCAAGCTCAATAATAACATCACAGAGGCAAATTCAGGTGGGCATGGTAAGAAATACTTTTTCATTTTTATTTACGATGTATGTGCTTGTCATATGTTGTGAAATATTAGTTGAAGATGTGTTACATTTGTTTATGCTATGGAACATTTGTTTAATGATGCAAAATGTTTTGCATTCTTTTATGTTGCATTTGCTTACCACTGAGAATCTGTGATACTTTGACGGTCTAAAATGCCAGATAGTTCTGATAAAGACCTGAATTGACTAGGTTTGGCATGCTGAGAGAATAAGTAGGAAGAGCAGACATCAGGGAGGATGAAAGGAGAAGGAGAGAAGACATCAAAGGCTAGTCACCCAGCTATACAGAAAGTCACAGAGTGAGAAGTACAGAAAGCTACATAAAATAGAGAAAGAGAAAATCCCAGAGGCAAAGAGTAGGCAGGGTAATTTAAGAAAAGTTGGCTCGAAACAAGTCAAGCTATGTCCAAGCGTCTATAAGTAATAATAAGTCTCTGTGACTATTTGGGAGCTGGGTGGTGGCCCTCCAAAGAGTAAGAAATACCAGCTGTAATTATGAGTATGCCATATGTGTGGGTGAACATGGAGGGCATTGGGCAGGATCTTTTGAAGCTGGTACTACAGATGTCTGTGAGGTGACCAAGCATGGCACAGATGCTGTAAATAAACCTGGGTACTGGGAACTGAAGTTGAGTCCTCCGAGAGAACAGCAAGTGCTCATCTCTCTACTGCCTGCCCTGACCATCACCCTCACCGTCCACAGCCATTTAAATAGGATTGATAGGTACCAGGGAAAGGAGAATGGCAAAGTCAAACAAGATGCAAGGAACAGCACCTTGGAAATGAGGAGGCTGTGCTCGCTAGTACTGGCCAATGATATTACCTACTAGAGTAGAATCTCTTGTCAATGACAAACACGGTAAACTCAGACATGACAGTGAGCACGCTGTGGAAGCACCAGCACCCCACTCCGTGAACCACGAGTGTAAACTTTATCCTTGTCGCCCTTGTATTTCTGTCCCATCCATTTGCAAGCACGTAGCAATCTCAAAGTGAAGCCTGAGTGTTGACACAGTGCTTCATTCCACTGTCACACCAGGAGGGCTGAGCATAATCATTTTTCCCTAAGCTACAAGGCACTCAACTCTGGGCTTCCTTTTTTTAATCAAAACAATCTTACTTTACACACCAATCCCAGTTTGCACTCTCTCTCATCCTATTCACCTCACTGTCTCCCCATCCTTGCCTCATCTGCTCCTCAAGGAGGGTGAGGCCTCTCATGGGGGATTGTCAAATTCTGTCACATCATTTGGGGTGGGGCCAAGGCCCTCCCCCTGTATCTACAATGAGCAAGGTATCCCTCCATAGGGAACAAGTTCCAAAAAGCCAGTTCATGCACTAGGGATAAACACTGGTTCCACTGCCAGTGGCCCCATAGATTGCCTAGGCCTCCTAACTGATACCCACATTTAGGGGCCCTGGTTCGGTCTTACACAGGTTGCCCAGCTGTCAGTCTGGAGTCAGTGAGCCTCCACTTGCTCAGGTCAGCTCTTTCTGTGGGTTTCCCTGGCATGGTCTGGACACCTTTGCTCATCGCTCCTCCCTCTCTACAACTGGACTCCAGGAGTTCAGCTCAGTGCTTAACTGTGGATTTCTGTCTGGGCTTCCTTTTAGTTTTAAATCTTTTCAACACTGCAGCTCCAATAGTCATTTCCAACTCTGTTAGGTAACATCAGTTCTCAACATAACATTGTCAGACAGCTTTTCACCAGGTTTACAATAACATCCAAATCTCTTAAAGTCGTCTGCAGATGCTCTGTGACCTGGACCGCCTCATTTATTTCAGGGGCTTATAACCTGGCTTCTGCCCATCTCATGAACATGAATATGCCAGGCTGGCTCTTGCATGAGACCTTGGCAGGTTCTGTCCCTTATACTTCCTCAGAGCCAACTGACTGATCTGGTTTCTTATAGGATTCAAATGCATCACTATTTCACTAATACAGTTTTCTTTGTAGCCAAGATTATGGTTCTGCACTGTATTGTTATTTTTGTTAAGTTTTATAGTTTCTTACTGGAGTCCAAATGTCACAAGAGCACAGGG